TTTTTTTTTTTTTTTTTTTTTTTTTGGGCCCAGTAATCTCTTCACCTGATCACCCCACCTCACAAACGGATTATGTTACACCTGCTTTTATATGTAAAATAGAACAGGTAAAAAAAACAAGTTCATACCGTTTCCACTCAGGATGTGCTGGATCACTCTCCTCCCCTCCCCCTTCCCTTATTCATTCAACGCCCCTAGGCAGCTCGTCTTTGATATCATACTTTTAAACGCTAACAATTTGCAGTTGTGAAGACGACACGTGATTTTAAAAGAATGAATCACAGGTATTTAAAGGCAATGGTCAAAGAATCCTTTCTCTTTATACTTACATGTCTTAATACCGGATTAAGCCTAGGCAATTTTATGTATTTGGTGTTAAATGTAAGGATCGTGCTGAAAGGTGACTTGAATAAGCTCTGACTAATTCTAAATTTTAATGTAGTCACCGGTTCTCGCACGTGGATGTGTACGTATGTGGAGTAGTGTGTCGTCTTTATGGGAATAGCCTTTCAGCTGAACGGGTCTCAAAAGGGTTATAGACAGTTCCTGGCTTGTGACATTTTGTATATTTCTTTATACAATTTTTAGTTGAACCCAATTTTTTTTCTCAATAAGTCTTGTGAGTCCTGTCAATTTAAGAATATAATTTTGGTGAATAAGCACATTTGCTGTTAAGAAGAGATTCCCCTTGACCTTAGTCCGAAGGTTTCTTCCTTTTTAAACGATAAAAGGGGTCACTCGGCGTGGTGCTTTTTTGGCCAGGCTGAAGATATGAGCAGTGTGCTGTCTCTAATTTGGTGGGCTTAGGGGACCATCAACAAATGACATATCATTTGGTCGATGTTAGACCTTCCCTCCCACGTCGATATTGTTTATCACAAGTTTGGACATCCTTAAAATATATCGTCACAAATTATCACAAAATGTACACATCCTCATAATGTAACGTCACAAATGTGCGGTCTCCCCCCCCCCCCCCAACTTATCGTCACAAATTATCACAAAATGTACACATCCTCATAATGTAACGTCACAAATGTGCGGTCTCTCCCCCCCCCTCCAACCAAACGAGATGCAAGAGTTCATGTGGGGTTGGTTCCTCGCCATAGGTTACAGAGAATTGATTGTGTTTACAGCGTTTAAAGCGTGTCCTGCTCCTGCTCATGGCTGTAAAACACGTTGAAGAGAATTATATTTGTGCATGTTAGTTTACATGAAAAGACATTACGCATCACTTTAGTTTATCCTGGCGTCAACTTCCTGAAGACCTATTAAAAAAACATTATATCAACCATAAATGTAAGTACTCAAGAACAATACTACTTACCGCTAAATCATATTGCTGTCTAGCCACAAAGCCGTCACTGCCAAGATTCTGGTCTGTACCTTCACAGCCGGCCACATACTGCAACTTCCGCTGTCGGTCCAGCCGCCTTATGATGCACATGGCCACCAGGACGGCCCCGGAGACGATGACCGTGAAGCAAATGATGCACGCCACGATCAAGACGTTCTGGTCGGCGATGACCTTCCCGGCGTAGGGCGATTCCGACTGGACGACCAGCAGGAGGCTCCGCGACGTCCACAACGCGGGATACCCTTGGTCCGACGCGTTGATGGTCAGGGAGTAGGCTCCGATTTCCGACACGTCGATGTCTCGGTTGGCGATGACCTCACCGCTGACTTTTCCTATTCTGAACAGGTCCGAGGCGTTCGTGCCGACGATGCTGTAGTTGATGGCGCTGTTCTTGCCGTCATCCTCGTCGTAGACCTCCACGGTCAGGAGAACGTCCTCGGCATTGACGGGGGCGTTGACGTAGGTTGAAAAGTTTTGGTCGCTGGGGAAAACGAACGTGGGTCGGTTGTCGTTCATGTCGAGGATTTGAACTGAAACCTGCACGGAGGAGGAGAGTTTACGCTGTCCGTTGTCCGTGGCGACAACGTGAAAGCTGTAAGTGCTTTTAGCTTCCCTGTCGAATGATTCCGTGCTTAAAACCCTACCGTCTTTGGTGACCGTGAACGGCAGGCTATCCACTTCCTTTAAAGGCTCCAGAGTCAGGGTGATGTCCCCTCCTTCATCCTTGTCGGGGTCGGACACCGTCAGGTTCCCAACAACGGTGGAGGGTTCCCTGTTTTCGTATACCTGAAATTTGTACCCGTTCTGAGAGAACCTCGGCGCCACGTCATTCACGTCAAGGATATTAACAGTAACGGACGCGGTTCCGGTCAGTCTAGGACTTCCGTTGTCAACAGCCAGGACTCTAAACACGTACCTGGTCTTGTCCTCCCAGTCGAAAACTCGGTTCGCCCTGACGACGCCGGTGCCGGGAGATATGGTGAAATTCCCACCGTCATCCACCAGTTTGTATTCCACTCTGGCGTTTTCTCCCTTGTCGGCGTCCAAGGCATTGACCACGACGACCGTGTCCCCCTTCATGTTGTTCTCCACGATATTGCTCCCATAAGACGACTTCCCGAAGGTAGGGTAATTATCATTGATGTCCCAGACGTTTATCGAGACGGTCCCCGTGCCGTTGAGACTTGGCGCACCCTGATCTCGACAGACAACCGCCACGGAGTAGCTGTCGTTTCGCTCCCGGTCGAGGGCCTTGGCGAGCGTGAGCTTGTAAGAGGTGGCGTCCAGCTGCTGGAGTTGGAAAGACGGTTCCAAAGACTCGCAGGAGACGTTCCCGTTTTTCCCAGAGTCCCTGTCCTCGGCCGTCAACACCGCGACGACCGTCCCGGCCCCGGCGGTCTCCTCGTACACCCAACCAGGAGGGAGGTCGCTGATGGACACGGCGCTTAGCCTCACCACAGGCCGGGTGTTCTCGGAATCACGGACCGTGACGTTGACGACGGTCTGGCTTTTCTGGGGATTCGATCCGGAATCGGTGGCGTCGACGACGATCCGGTACGCGCCACGCTCCAGCGGCTGCGTCAGTGAGATCAATCCAGATGTGCTGTTGACGAATATCTTGCCGCGGATATCGCTGGTTGGCTGGACGGTGCTCAAACGCTGGACGGTGCTCAAACTGTACCCAATCCTACCGTTATCGCCGACGTCTCTGTCTGTGGCGGTTACGGTGATAATGGGGTAGCCAGCCCCGGCGGTCTCGTTGAAGCTGGCGGAGTAGACGGCGCTGGTGAAAACGGGCGCGTTGTCGTTGTAGTCTTCTACCACCACGTTCACAGTCAGGGTTCCACTCCTCGGTGGGTCTCCGCCATCCTTGGCGATAACGCTCAGCTTATACGTGTCAGCTGCTTCTCTGTCTAGCGCTTGTTTCAGGACTAAATCGACTTGCCAAGTTCCGGCCTGATTCTGAGTTGCCACCACTTCAAAAACCTCGCTGTCTGGATCAACGATGTACGAGTTGACCCCAAACTCCTTACTCATATCAGCGTCCGTGGCTATAAAAAGAGAGAACGGGGATCTGACGAGTGTGGCTTCGTTGATAGACAAGTTCTTGACGGGGTCTCCAAAGATCGGGCCGTTATCGTTGATGTCGGTGATCACGACCTTCATGGGGATAAGCTTGACGAAGTTGCTGTTGCCGAACACGGTGACGGAGAAGCTCAGCTCGCACGTGTTGGTGCCGGGGCACAACCTCTCCCTGTCAATTACGGCCGCAAAAGTTATGTTTCCCGACTCCCCAACGCTGAAGAGATCGCCCGCCTTCGAAGACGAGCCGTTCAAGATCCCGTATTTCAGACTTGCACGGTCCGAGTCTCCGACCATGGCAATAAGGCTGGCGCTGGTTGACACGCTTCCAACGAACTGGCCGACGCCCTGCTCCTCGGGTTGGGTGAAGGTTAGCGTGTCCGCATTTTGGGCGTACGAGACCGACACGGCCAGGAGAAGGATGAACGGGGGGATGATTGCCGGTTCCATTATTGAACCTCGGGCGCTTTTAGAGGAGCTTTTTCACTTGTGTTAGATCAATAACCATAGCTCTACCACCGTGTCACAAACTTCAAAATTCCAGCTCATTGATGCATTGATGGATATATATTTATATATACATATTTTGCAAACCTAAACATGAGGTGTGTGGATTTTTGCTCTCTTCCGTTCTTCTTCCAGACCTATGTAACCTGTGGGGGAAAAAAAAAAGGAATATGACATGCTTTGAATAAAACCAACAAAACAGATGTAAATCATGAACAAGATTTGGCGCACTGTCCAATTAACGGCAAGATAACTTCTTACATAGAGCACTGTAATCCAACAAGATAATGTAAAAGTAATTTGAGGACACAGATTCACGATATTTTAAATTATATAGAAGGCCTATGTTAAAGTAGAAGACCTAATATGTCAAAGTAAAAGCCTCGACTGTAAATGAGAATTTTACAGTTTTGCTTTAGCACATCAATCTTTTAATCTTTTCATAATGCCCCAGGTATGCATGAACTTGTCATGAACACATTACATATTCGTCATATACACCACACTGTGGTTTACATTATTATAAAATGTCTCAATAGACCACGAGGAGGTCGATCAAATCTTAATGTTTTGCAAGCCATGCCCCATAGCGTTGCCTGGCTTGACTAAAGTTTGGGGATAATGAATCTCTAGCGTAATGTTATGTCAAACCAGGTGATGCATGTGTTAATCGTTATGGATAAAAACACGTTAATTTCGTGCTCTCTCTCTCTCTCTCTCTCTCTCTCTCAAACTCACGTCCTATATATCTCTATATTCTTATCTCTAACTCGCCTTCTGTCATTCACTTTTTAGTCTTTTTCTATCAAACTCGTTATATCTTTCTCTCTCTATATATATATCTCTTTCCGCCCCGCTTTCTCTCTCTCCGTCTAACCCCCCCCCCCCATCTCTCTCACCACCAGAGACCGTCGGACATAAGGTACCATGGTTGTTTTCAGTCCGTATAAGTAGATGGGAATTATGATAATCAAGAAACTTCAGTGAAGGGGTAAGTGTAGCTGGGGTCTGATGAGCAAGCTGTTAAATTTTAACTATTCTACTACAGAATCGATTGTTAAATTTTCAATAGAATTATAACAATGACAAAATAGACAAACAATTGACGTTCGTTTTTTCCTATAACCGACAAGTACCGAACCGGTTCTGGCTTGTTTGGCAGCCCACAGCTGGGTAACTGTTGCAATGGACAGAAACATTGTGGTTGGCGGCTCCGGGAGACTGGACAGTAGGCCCAAACCTCTTCTGAAGATTTGGAACGAGTGACGGATCAAGGTCCATGATGGTTTGACCTTAGTTTCAGACAGTCTTCACTGCAAAGTAACTGTCGTGTTTTTCACTTCACTCTCTAGCGCTACAGTCCCCCCTCCCCCCTCTTTTTCCCCTGTCAATCTAATGTCAGTCCGATGGTGACCGGACACAGGATTCTGTTTACCCACGGCTATTGTTGTGTTGTCTATCCATCCATCCAAGTCTAATTACTTCGCGGTCACTCAAATCACCATGACACCCCGCAGGCCAGCAAGCCCATCGCTTTTTCATTATTCCCCTGACCACCGAGTTACTGAGGTAACAATGGAGGCTCACCTGAATGGAGATTGTATTCCTGCGTTAACCCTGATGCGTGCCATTCACTGGGAGATGCGGTAATTCCCGATCATGCCGCTGAAGACGCCGGCCGTGTCCCTGTTAACACACATAAACGATTTATTTTCTACATTTGATGAAGAACTATCCTTTAAGGTTAAAACTATTTCTTCGAAAAAATCTCCATTCAATTATATATAATAAAAAAAACAACAACATTTCAGAGGTGCCGTAGTAAACTTAATTTCGTATGCTGTAAACGAGATAAAAAACTCAAACACACTTCATCTTCTGATGCACTTTCCGAGAAGGACAAAAATTATAATAATTTTTTAAATGTGTATTTTTGTGCTACCAATAAACAGTATGAGGATGCGTGTTTGAATTATTTGTTATTGGTTCTTGAAATGCGCGAATTTTGTGACGTGAATTACATTGATGAATGTATGAAGTCTTGGACACACGCAAATATTGCTTTTTTTTTCTTTTCTTCTGAAGTGCAGCACGATGGCATCTTTTTACAGCTTCTACGTTTCTCGAAGATGACATAAAATTAAACACACTATCATTTCGGGAGACCTCCATGACTCTACTCAGCAATTCTAATAACCAAGGTCGTTTGGCATAGCTTTACACACCATGGGATTTACTCATTCGCGCTAAACGAATCTGTCCGTCAAAGATGACCCCTCCACGCGGTGAACCCTTTCACGTCGTCCGCAGGTCCAGTCCGCGTCCCAATCCACCCACTGGCCGAATCCCATCATTGACCATTAGCTCGTTTTGGCGATCGTGTAACTCGTACTATTTAAGAACTTTGACAGTTGAGTGACTGCTGGACGTCGGTCACATGACAAGCGGGAGTTGATCATTTCTTTGGTCCAGTGAAAGCCTGACCGGCGGGACCGCGCCAGATAAATGTTTGATTCTGTTGCAAACAATTAGGTCTACTTTAGCCGAAATAAAATGAGTAAAACAGAGTAGGGTTAAACCTGAAAAAATAAACGCAACAAAACAGCGAACGTGTCGGCAGAAAGCCTTCGTCAGCGAACAAAACAACAGAAAAAACGGTATAAAAATAAGAAATAGCACTTATAGTAGTATACTACTTCCAAGCTAAGTGCTATTTCTTATTTTTATACCATTTTTTCTTTTGTTTTGTTCGCTGACGAAGGCTTTCTGCCGACACGTTCGCTGTTTTGTTGCGTTTATTTTTTCAGGTTTAACCCTACTCTGTTTTACTCATTTTATTTTGTACTAACCTGATTGCAATCTCTCCCCTTATTACCCCTACTTTAGCCGAACTGTTGGCGTGGTGGCGGACACAAAGCGTGTATGGGAGCAATGCGAACCTCAAGTTATCGGTATTGGCAGACTGGTGAAAACGATTTTTGTTTTCAGTGATCACTGGTTTAGAAGCATGCGTTAAATGAATCAACTGCATACAGGCAAAGCGCCAGTTTCTTGAAGAGGCAATGTTAAGAACTGCATTGAAACATGCCCACATTGTACAGGAACGACGTCAAAAGTGATTTTTTTTTTAATGGATGCGTGCGTGGGTGATAAGGGTGTTATTCATTAACACCTCTCTTCCCCCCCCCACCCCTACATTCTTAAATGTATTGGGATATTTCCAAAAGTGCCAATACAAGCTGATCACGAAACCTAGTCACGGTGGGGACTTACTCCCCCCTCCTCCCCCCCCCCCTTTGAGCCGCCTGAAGTTGTTTGAACCGGCTAGAAAAGTGGAGACAATTGTTTTAGCTGACAGCGGACGAGAGACACAACTCTTGTCAAGAGGCGTTATCCAGACCTTGGGTACGTGTGTCCCGTCAAGTTGTCGTCCTTAGATGTTTGCCGATTGGGGGTGGGGGGGGGAGAGATTAGGTCCCTGGGGGTACCTGAGCGTTGAGAACACATTGCTTGGTGAGCTGCGGACGCCTGAGAATCATCTCTGTATGGTGATTGACCATTGGTCAGTGGTGTGTTTTATATGACAACTTGTATTTCCAATAACGAGACATTGACAGATGTATCGGTGATGTGAAACACAAGCTTTGATTTGGTCAGTAGGCACAAGACTTAGCAATGTCTTTAAAAAACATCTTGGAAGAAAATAATGTATACGTTCAGCCCTGTGGGGGGGGGGGGACCTGAGCGTTGAGAACACATTGCTTGGTGAGCTGCGGACGCCTGAGAATCATCTCTGTATGGTGATTGACCATTGGTCAGTTGTGTGTTTTATATGACAACTTGTATTTCCAATAACGAGACATTGACAGATGTATCGGTGATGTGAAACACAAGCTTTTATTTGGTCAGTAGGCACAAGACTTAGCAATGTCTTTAAAAAACATCTTGGAAGAAAATAATGTATACTCATCTTGACCGAAGGGTGTCTAAATATAAACAAATTTGGAGAAACAAAAAAATTTCGTGTTTCTTGAACTTTCAAAGTATGATAAATTCTTGTTCAAGACTATGTGCAGAGTTTCCATATTGGTTTAACTCTTGAAATTCTTCAAGCGATTAATTTGACAATATGCCAGGATACAATCAAATTCCTTACGTTGAAGGAGGGGGGGGGGGGGGGGGGTATGGCTACCAAAATGGCACGTGCAATCGCATTTAAGAACCGCTAAAGTAATTAACCTTTAGGTGGAAGCAAAAATGAAATTTTTTAACTCTTGAAATTCTTCAAGCGATTAATTTGACAATATGCCAGGATACAATCAAATTCCTTACGTTGAAGGAGGGGGGGGGGGTGGGGTATGGCTACCAAAATAGCTCGTGCAATCGCATTTAAGAACCGCTAAAGTAATTAACCTTTAGGTGGAAGCAAAAATGAAATTTGCAGTGGATAAAATTGATAGAATTAGCACACCAAGAATTTTAGATTTATTTAATTTAAATATAGCAATAAGGTTTCAACTTCTGATGTTATTTTTTTTTAATGACTATTTCTTGAATGTCTAAACTTTTCAACTGTCTTTCTATCTTTCATTTGTTTTGTTTTGTTTGTTTTTTTAAATTTCACAATTAACAAAAATTTCCACCCACTTAAAAATTGAATCATTCCATCCCCACCCATAACTCAATATTAATTCCACATCACTTCCGGTCATTCGTTCGTGCATCCATCAGTCCACCCATGCATCCAGTAATTCTGCTCGTCTCATTGTTCACGTCAGCATGTGCATATTTAAGAAATGCACAACAGCTGTGCCGCGTGACGAGCGAAGCCATTACGCTTTGCTCACGTTCAGCCGTAAGCTGGAAAACGATTGGTTGGGGCTCCGGTAAAGATTTCCCCCCGCATAAATGCTTTTTTTAATCACCATGGCAACGCTCATCAG